GTTGATATTTTCAATAGCGCTGAGCTTTATTAATCTATAGAGACAAAATGACATTTTCTTTCGTGAACTGAATCATAAAATTTTCTATGTAATCAAACTATTTAATCATTCACATTTCCTAATAAATTATCATTCGTCATATAGTATATGAATTGAAGTAATATCTGCAAGTGACATTGTATGGCAGTTGTTGAATAAGAGACATAATTGATAAAAAACAGATCATTATTTGTACAATCGAGTGGATATAAAAACAAATGTGAAGAATATTAACCATTCTTTGTTACTAATGACATGTATTCGGATGAGAGCGAGTTCACATATGATGATAACGTATAAATAATCGTTCTCAAGTGAATATCACAAATGAATGACTATGACTGAATAATATGTTCAAACAAATCAATTTTTCCAACAAAATTCTTTTTTGTAAAATAGTTTGATCAGTTTAATTATTGTATTTTAGAAAGTAGATATATTTTATGTTCTTATTATGTGCATAATTTTCTAAAACGCATGATAGTCTCGACAAAGAACAAATCGATTAACTGTCTCCAAAAAACGAGACATATTGTGGAAAAATTACTAATTATTTGTAAATAAATAAATGAAAAAGAAAATAGAATCTATATTATAGAGGGTGTGTGTGTGCGTGGGTATGTGAGATTTAGTGTACTACGTGATCAGAAATTTTATGATCCCGAACACGCGTGATTGTGATCGTGCGTGATTCGAACTTTTTTTCGTAATCGTGATCGTGATTATGATGAAAAGTAAAAAATTAGTATTCACGATTATAATATATACGTTAAAAATCTTAAGTATTTATTCGAGATTTAATGTTCACATTGAAATCACCAATAATATCTGATAGCTCATATGCTATTTTTAACAAAAAAAATCAAGAAAATATATAAGTTAGTTGAATAATATTATATAAAAACAAAACTAATGAAAAAATGAGAAAATTATGTAATCGGCTAGTTTATTCATCATTTTCGCTTTCAATATTAACTAAATAATTATCATCATTTTAATGATTAATAAGATGATCGTGTTGCTTTGGTTTTTTCGGTATTAGTTGATCATTCATTATGGATGTATCATCTTTCGTTTAGTATTTTTATCATTATTAGTATCAGCAAAATTCATAGGAAATTTTTTACCTAAAATGTCCATATTTTTTTGTAGAAACATAATTTTATTTAGTTTATCGGCACCTAGTCTTGTTTTTTTTATCGGTAACAGTAATTTACACGATGAAAATAAACCTTCTATCGAAGTATTTGAAGCTAGTACAGCTAATACACCTCGAGCAATTGAAGCAATTAACGAAAATAACTTCTGATATTCATTCCAATATGACAATATATCAGACAGACGGCACGACCGATCGATAAAATATTTTTCTTATGTTTCCATATACTCTGTAATATACTTCTAATTATAATTGTGAATTTCATCGTGAAAGTGCGTGATCGTGAGTGTGATTATCTTTAAAAAAAGGTAAATGGTACGTGATCGTGACTACGAACCACAATTTATTCGTGATCGTATCGTGATCGTGATCAAACATATCAATCACGCAGTACACTAATGAGATGGATGGATGTGGGTGTGGGTGCTAGGTGAATACAGCATCCATCCGCACACCCATATTTAGACGAAGATCAAATTTTTTTAATAGAAAAAATAATCGATCTGCTAGTGAAAACATTATACCGTTTAAAATGAGATATTTTACTGAGATAATCTGATACATCTCTCTTGAAATTATGAGATGAACATATTTGAAACGAATAGAACAATTAAACCCACATTCAAGATTTTATGACACCACATAAACCTGTATTACATAAGCACCAGCCGCCTATTTAACAAAAAGTACCCATATCTTAGAGGTTTTTACAGATACCAATAATAAATATATTTTCCACAAGTTACGTTACAAAGAGTACTTGCATAAATATATGACTAGATCGGCGATACAGATTTACATGGGCAATCTGTCTCTTGCTCTTCGATTATGGATAATATGATATTCTAATTACCTGATGTTTTCATTTCATCGAAGGTGAGTGTCGATCTTCTATTTTATCCATATCCTAAGAAGAATACTCTATGTGATAGACAGATTTTGTCATCTTCTACTTCAATAATTTATATATTGTATAATAGACATAACTATGTTTATTCCAAATATAGTATCTTGAGGGTGTGGGTGTGGGTGTGACATGAACATAACAACCATATATACCCACACCCATACCCACCCACACCAACACCCACACCCCAAGATTTTTAATGAACTTTATTCGCTGTTAATGAAAAATACTTTAAAATTGACAAAAAAGAATTATTTATTAAAAGTCAATTTATCATCAAAAAACTTGTTTCAGTCAAGATCAATAGCAAATTTTTGTATTCGACCGTTGTATCTATCGACAACATAAAGATTACCCTGTCGATCAAATGATAGATCATGTGGGAAAGCTAGCTGCGTGGGTTCACATCCAGATATTTTTTCACCAACGACAGGAACACCTTTTGCTGCACCTGGCGACCAACGCATTATTTGATGACTTTTGCTAGTCGATACATAAATATTACCCATACGATCAACAATTACACCTATAGGATCACGTAGTATATTAGGATTGCGGTCATCAATTAGCCCCGGAGCAACACGAATGCCTTCGGTAGCATTTTTCATCCATTTCATCACACGATTATTCGTAGAATCTGCTACATAAACTGAATGATATTCATCGACGAAGATATACATAGGATGATAGAGTTGATTTAACTGCTTTCCTACTTCCTTCCCACCCGCTACAATTGTACCTTCTTTATTCCCTTCTTGCCACCGTATGATCTGATGTTTTTCCGGTTTCGAAATATAGAGATCTCCATTATTATCCATTGCTAAACCCCAACAAACAATATCAGGTATCAACACTTGTTGATTCTGACTATTTTTAACAGGCCATTTCATTACTCGTTGGTTACCCTTATCACAAATGATGAGAGATTTCTTCTCTTTATCAAGAACTACATCTGTTGGATAATGCAAATGATCTAGTTCACTTCCAGGTCCTTTTTCACCTGCAACAATTTCACCATTCTTTGCACCAAATTCCCATCTAACAATACGACTCTTGTATGTGTCAGCAATATAAATACTAAGATCATCAGCATCAACATGAATACCAAAAGGACTAAATAATGAATCGAAATGACCATCCCATTCGCTTCGTTCAGCAATAGTAGATGCATTTTGTTTCCATTTCGTATTGTTATCACTCATAACAGAAAGAATTAATTGTTCTATAAAACATTTAAAAAAATTTCAGTTTTCTTTTCGTTTCTTTTCTATCGATCTAAAAATTATTTCTTAAAAATAAAACATGTTTTGTTTTGTTAAACATAATATTGTGGAGTCATTACATATAAATTACGAGAATGTAAGTGTGAGTGTAGATTAGGGAACTGCGGAGTCAACCTTTTTTGACTCCGACTCCGGAAAATTATGTTTTACGGACTCCGACTTCGGCAGAGTCGGAGTCATAATCGGGTTCCGAAGCACTCCGCAGCTCCCTAGTGTAGATGGATGAACTATGGATTCCAGAGCATATTCTCATTCACCTTTCAGTGAGCCTTTCGAAATTATTCTATAGAAAGTAAAATGTGTAGCTTTCGATTATGGACTATTAAACTATTTTATGTGATTATTCGAATAGAATACCTAAGATTGAATAAAGAAAAGCTACTTTCTCTTTTATGAATTATTTCAAATAAGAAACTAACTAGTCTGAGTGGCGGGACAGTCGCCAATAAGACTATCGCTGACAGAACATTCGCTATTGATGAAAGTACAGTGCATTTGCCAGGTGCTACAAAACAATATTAATATAGGATATATGTTATAGCTCACATTAATGTTACTAGTATGGGTATATGATAGCTTACACTCGTCAACGTAGCTAAGAAAAGATTTTTAGTCTACATTTAATTCACAGTGAAATTGGCAAAACTCCAGCAGATGTATTGGTGAAAGTCGCATTGATGAAATTCTAGAATCCACTAGTTTTAAAAAAACCATACCGCTTGTTGCTGTTGTTGTTGATAATGGTGATGTTGTTGTTGTTGTTGTTATTATTGATGTTGATTTTGTTATCTCCATTGTTGTTGTTGATGTTGATGTTGGTGTTGTTATTTCCATTGTTGATGTTTTTTCTCTTTTTGTTTTGTTCATTAAAGCAACGGTTGTTGAAATAGCTATAATTGGAATAATTAAAATAATAAGAAATATTATCCAAAGTAATTTTCGCTTTCGAAAATGTTCACATCTAAAGTAAGAAATTATTTTCATAATTCATTCTAATTTATAATATATACATACAATCTTTGTAAACGTGTTATATTAAAATTAACTTCGACAGCCTAAAACATTCAGATAGAAAATAAGATTATGCTATTCTTTCTATTTAGTGCATTACTTTATCAACTCCAACTCTGTTATTCATGTTTATGGTTGTTGTTGTTGGTGTACCAAAATTTGAATGTTCTGACAATCTAAAAGCAAGAAAAAAAAACTCTTTTTCTTCAAAGATCATTGATGAATATTGATATAATTATACAAAACATAAATTATCTCTCATTGAATATGGTTTTTGTATTTATGAGATTCGATATGCTTCATTAATTAATTGGTTTTACTCGAAACGAAACAATGTTAAAATAAAGTTTTGATATATTCTTACGTGAGATGATAAAAAATAAGTTTAAAATAATATATATTCCTCTATTTCTTCTCGATTAAATAGAAATTATTTTGCATGAGTTAAATAAAAACAAGTTTGATCTTAAATAATCAGTTCAAAATATTGTAACATTTGCAACAACAAAAAAGATCCTATATCAATACAAATATTAATTTTATTTCCTTTTTCCAAAGTCAGTTTTCAATAAAATATTTATCATAATTTTCTAGAAGAATAAAAAAAGAGAAAGTCAGAGAATGACGTCATATTGCGCATAAAATGCACTGAGAAAGAATAGAATATTTATTGTTAGAAATATTTTGTATTTAACTTTTTCAGCATGAGTGAGTTTTTTTGGAAAACTTTTCCAGATGTTCATTTTGATAAACACTTTACTTTTAGAAAAAGTACATTTAATGACGTCTTCATCATTTTCTGTCGATTATTCATCGTTCTCTTCTTTGCATTTCTACATAATGAACCAATTTTGCAATCAATGGATTAATGACTAAAATTATTTTTTTATGTTGATAGGTAGTATAGGGTGAGATATATGAAGAAAATCTCTAGTTTTCTCTTCCATATTCTTATCTCTATATCTTTTTGTATATTCAAACGACCGAAATTGTGAAATAGTTGGCATGTCGTTTGAAAAAAACGATACAGAAGATAGCGTTAGCTGACTTTTTTGAATGATAGTTATGATTGAATGGACATTAAATCTGAAAGTTCCGATGAAGAATTTACAAATAATGATTTGTCTTTTATCAATCATAGTTCTTTTTCACCAACCGTCATACAATATCACTTCGAAATATTACTCCAACGCATATATTATTTGGTGAATGATAATGTATTAAGAAATGTGAATGATTAAATAGTTTGATTACATAGAAAAATTTAATGATTTAGTTCACAAAAAAAATGTCATTTTGTCTATGTTGATAAATAAAATTCAGCACTGTTGAAAAAAGCAGTAACGCTTTCTCCACCAGTAACTAATACTTTTCCATTTGCTAATATAGATGCTGTGTGATAATGTCGGGCGATACTCATGATTCCTGTGATTGTCCAAGTGCCTGTTGATAGATTGTACAATTCAGCACTATTGAGACGACTAGCACTGGACGATCCACCAGCAACTAATACTGATCCGCTTGCTAATCTGGATGCTGTGTGATATTGTCGTGCGGTATTCATGTTTCCTGTGGTTGTCCAAGTGCCAATTGAGGGATTGTACAACTCAGCACTATTGAGATACTTAACATCATCGTTCCATCCACCTGTAACTAATATTAATCCATTTGCTAATGTGGATGCTGTGTGATATTGTCGAGCGGCATTCATGTTTCCTATGATTGTCCATGTACCTGTTGATTCATTGTACAATTCAGCGCTATTCAGCGAACTAGCACCGTTGTGTCCACCTGTAACTAATACTAATCCATTTGCTAATCTGGATGCTGTGTGATCTTGTCGTGCGACATTCATGTTTGCTGTGGTTGTCCAAGTGCCTGTTGATGGATTGTACAATTCAGCACTATTAAGATAACCATCGCTGTTGTATCCACCAGCAACTAATACTAATCCATTTGCTAATATGGTTGCTGTGTGAAATCTTCGTACGATACTCATGCTTCCTGTGATTGTCCAATTACCTGTTGATTCGTTGTATAATTCAGCACTTTTGAAATAACCAGCCCGACCGTTCTGTCCACCTGTAACTAATACTGATCCATTTGCTAATGTGGATGCTGTGTGATCTACTCGTCCGACATTCATGTTTGCTGTGGTTGTCCAAGTGTCTGTTGATGAATTGTACAATTCAGCACTATTGAGACTACTATCACCGTTACCGTTTCCGCCAGCAACTAATACCAATCCATTTGTTAATGTAGTTGCTGTGTGATGATATCGCACGGTATTCATGTTTCCTGTCATTGTCCATTCTAAATAAGGTAGAAAAGCAGAAAAAAATATTATTCTTAAAATGACATCGAATTTCTCATGTGCATAAGTTGTTTATCTATTGATTAGAAGTTAAATAATTTCAAACCTTGAATAGCCTTCTCTTTATTTTTATAGTTAAGACGAGATTCGTTATGAAATGTTAAATTAAATTAATGAAAATTTTTTTATAAACGATTCCATTGATATCTTTCGAGTTCTATCGATGTCGCGAACTGACGCACTGTCCTACAATTCAGTTATGATGAATAATGATCGAATTTTTAAGATTTGAGTGAAAGTCATTGTGCATTCAGACCTCGTAGCGTGTTTACTTTCCTGGTTTTTTCCTGATTTTCTAAAAATGTCCTGATTTTCCTGTTTTTAACTAAAAATCCTGATTTTGCCCTGATATTTTATGAATTATCCTCATAGGAGTTAGTTTAAGTAATTATGATCTTTCTTGCTATTTTGTTCCGTCTATTTCGAATTTATACAAAAACTTTTTACGTATTTTCATCGAAATGAAAGATGATATTATTAATAATTTTCAAAATAGATTTATTTTAAACCGTCATTTTTTCTGTTTTTTTCTTAATCAATTTTGTTTTTAAAGATGCTAATTTACTATTAGCAGTTGTCACCGGTACTTCGGCTGTACCGATATCATCAAGTCTTGAGGGTGTGGGTGTGGCTGGGTGGGTGAGGGTTCGGGTATGAGCGCATGATAGATGTGATACTGAGTCATCCTCAACCTCACATACCCACACCCACACCCACACCCACACCCACACCCTCGACACAGACACTACACCAGCAAAATCTCATAAAAACATTTCAGTAGACACAAGTTGATAATGAAGAAAGTGTGCACTGATCTTTTACTAATAAGGCATCTATCAAAGCATGAAAATTAAAATATAATAGGAAATTCCCTCATGAAATCGAGCCTACCCAGGGCTACTACGCTCCGCCGCCTATGTAAACGTAAATTTTATACTAAACAGTGGTATTTCAATACATTTTGCAATGTCCTGACTTTTATTTAAATTCCTGATTTTTTTTTCTATTTGTGTCCTGCCCACTTTCCTGATTTTGCAACATAGGCCGCTGCGAGGCCTGATGCTGCATTGGTCAACATAGTGAAACAAGATATGAGGGTGTGAGTGTGGGTACCGTATCCACCTAGCATCCACACCCACCCACACCCTAGGAAAATTGCCATATCATAAGCAGTTCGATATACTCTATAGTCTGAGCGAACAAAAAACAACATTTAGTAAAGAGTATGTGGTGTTTGGAAACCGATTTTCTAGAAAACCACCCTATAAAGGCCTAAGGGCATTTCCTATGCTCATATTCAGAATTAGCATGGTTGATAACCTCTATCTCAATGGTTTTTATTAAAAAAGCGATTGGACAGTTTGTGAGGTGCCCTCATCAGCACAAACACTCAAGCGAATCCGCACAGGAATTACTGAGTGAAATCCCCAATTTTTGGTCGGTAACCTATAATCAAACTGGTGTCATTCAATAGAGCTTTTAATTCGGCAGCTAACACAACTGTTGCGAGAGTCAACGCAAGTCCGCAGACGAATATAGACAAGAATTACTCGAATATACTGCTAACTTTATCTGCGTTTACCATTTGTGAATTCTATTCTATAAACTGTATGGACGACTTTTCTAAATCTGTATTCTTATCTCTCAACTTTAAATAAAGAATGACAATAGAAACTCACTCATACAAAGATAAAATATCGTTTTGAATTAAAATAAGTAAATCTTCTCTGCTTGAAACAGTTCTTCAAAAATTCTTCGTTAAGAAATTGAACTATGAATTTCATGAAAAGTATTGATATTTGTCTTTGTGAAATGTAATCTAGAATTTACCTCAATCAAAAATTAAACGATAGAATTCTAATCTGTATAAATATTCCTATAAAATATTCAAAAATAAAATCAACACTTAACACATCATGAAAATGTGTTAATAACTTACTAAAAAAGAAAAGGTTACCACCTTATTTTACTTTGTTAATACTATACCTTCTTTCATCGGAGTGGCCACTGTTGTTTTTGTTGTCACAGTTGATAGTTCTATTATATTTGTTATTTTTGCTGTCTCAGTTGATAGTTTTATTATACTTGTTGTCACAGCTGATAGTTTTCTTATATCTGTTGTTCTTATTTTAATAATCACTGTTGCAAAAATTATGATCAAAATAACAATGATAGCACTAATAATGATCCGTAAGAGTTTCTTTTTTTTTAAATATTTTCTTCTATAAAAAAACAATTCTTTTAATTATGAATTTCAACAATTCACAAAACACATACAACA